GGGTTGTGTTTGCAGGTACAGCAGAGGTGTATGTGATCGCACTATACTATATGATGTGTGTAGTGTGGGAAGTGTGTGGGATGGTGTTGCGTGATCTATTTCTGTGAATTATTGTGCTGTGTGTCACTCTGTGTGCACCTTTTTGCCTGTCATTCACAATTAGCAACGCTTTGGCGATTGTGCCCTGTGGGCTTTTGCTCACTGGGGAGGGGCGTGTGTGCTGATGTGTGTGCTGTTGTGTGATTCTGCAGCAGTGTCCACAACAAAGGCTCGTGTGGTGTGTGAGGCTGCGTAAGGTCTATGTGTGTGCAGTGGTGCCGAGTGTGGATATGTGTTGGTCTATGGATTTACGGGTTTCGTGGTTGTCGGTCCCTGTGTGAAATGGGACGGGGCCAGGTATGGCGGAGTGTGTGATAGGCATGTCTGTGATGTAGTGTTCTGAGGGTGTGTGTTAATCTACGTGGCACTTTATGACTGTGATTGTGATTCTGTTTTGTGATGGGAGGGCGTGTGTTTTATTTCCACGCGTTGGTGAATCTCTAGGGTTGTGTGATGGGGTGGTGTAGTAGGCACGTGAGGGTACAAGGTGGTGTGTTCTGGAATGTGATTGTGAAGCTGTGGGGGGGGGGGTTGTGTGTCCTCCCCATCTGGGCTATCTAGGTGACAGTTATGGGTGAGTACGAGGCTTGGTGGGGGCCTCTGGCTGTGACGTGTCTGCCGTGGACCCGTGCAGTTGTGTGTCGGGGCAAAGGGTGAGGGGGTCTCAGTGTGAGGTCTTCCTTGCCTCCTAAGCTCCCTCAAGCTCCCCCTCCTGAACAGCACCCCCGCACGGTTTCCAGCCCCCCGCCCCCGCCTCACTGCGGAGGGAGGGGCTCTGGGCCCCCTGCCTTATCGTGGCGGTTTGCGGGGCTTTCCCCCCACCCGGTGTGTCCACCTCCCACAGCGCAGCCCTCTTCCTGGTGGCAACACCCCCACCGTGAGGGGGTTTTCGGGACTCTCTCTCCCTCAGCGCCCCCTCCTCGGAAGCGCCACCCCCCACCGCGAGGGTCTCCAAGCCCCTCATTGCGGGGTCTCCGGGATCCCCCCTTCCGCAGCGCTCCCCCTCCTCGGCGGTGCCGCCACTTTGCGGAGGCTGGGGGGCGGGGAGGACAGCTGCAGTACCGGGGGCGGGGCCGCGGGCCGTCCGTCAGGGCGGCGGCGCCCCTGATTGGCCGGCGCCGGCCCCCCCGCGGGCGCGGGCATATGAGGAGGCGGAGGCGGCGGCCGCCGCAGACTCAGTGCGGGAGGGCTGCCGGCCGGACGGACGCGCGGACCGAGGCGCGGGCGCTGCAGAGGCCCCCCAGCCCGAGCCCGCGCCTGAGCCCGCCCTGAGGCCTCTGCCCCGGCCCCCGCCCCGCCCGCCCGCCCCTCTCCCCCGGAGCCGCCAAGATGGGGGTAGGTGCTCGGGCCGGCCGGGCCGTGCGTGTGTGCGACATTGTGGGTCCAGTGTCATTGGGGGTCGGGGGGGGGGGGGGGGGGCGGGGGAGGGGGGAGGCTGGGGCTCCGGGACCCCTGCGCTCCGCGGCCAGGTCTGCGTGACCCGGCCCGTCCGTCCGGTGTGCCCCGGTTGAGCGTGTGCACGGGGCCGCCTGGGGCCGCGGGGTCTGTGGCGTATGTTGGCGTGTCTTTGTGTGCGGGGTCCGAGGGGCACCGACCGGCCCTCGGCATCTCTGCCTGACCTGGTGTGGTGGCATGCTCCATCGTACGTGTGCGTGTGCGTGTGCGCGTGTGTGAGCTCCTGGCTCTGTCAGGTCCTGCCAGCACCGTCTGCCGGCGATCCGGCGGCCCCAGGTTGTGTCTGACTGTCTGCAGTCGTGTCTGGGTGTGTCTGAGAGCTGGTGTTTGTGTCTGGGGGTGTTGAAACCCCTCCGCTTCCCTGGCCGGGTGGGGACAGGCCCAGGCTATGGGATGAACACCAGATGACCTCTCTTTCTCCTTCCAGGCCTGGATGGGGGGGCTCCGCAGTGCGGCGCGTGGCCTGGGGCTGTGGTGTGTGTCCAGCCCCTAATCTGGGGAAGCTGATATGGGGGGGCTGGGAGAAGCAGGAGAGCCATGGCAGGGAGACTGAGTGCCTGGCTGAGGGCGCATGTGTGCAAAGGTGGAGGGTGGGGGGTGGGGGGAGTGTATCGTGCATGTCTGGCTATGCCCTTGCCTCTGTGTCCGTGTGTCCTTGTCTGTCTGTGAGTCTCTCCAGCAGATGCCGCCTCCTTCCCTGGCTGACCACCTGATCCCCTCTGCAGCCCTGGATTCCTCCCTGCGTGTCTGGGGCGGGGCCATGTGGGGGAGAGTGGGAGAAGGAGGAGGGTGGGCTGGGCTGGGTAGGATGAAGACAGAGGGTCCGGATGGGAGAGACTAATGGAGAGGGAGTATGAGGGATGGGGAGAAAGATGGCGGATGAAGGCTGATGGGCCCAAGGATGGAGGTGGGGGTGGGGCTGCAAATCTGTGACTTGGGGTGGGCGAGGGGGATGGAGAAGAATTGGATGGGGAGAGGACTGGGAGAGAGAAGGGGGGAGGTGAGAGTCAGTGATGGCTTCCAGGTAAGTGGAATGGAAGGAGGGGAACTGTGGGCAGATTAGGGGAGAGGACTGAGGCTGCGTGCCCCAGAGAAGGAAGGGAGGCATTAGGAAAAGAAGGGGACAGAAGAGAGGCTCTTTAGACATTGGAGGCAGAGAGGCAGAAACATGTGGAAAGAGCGAAAGAAACAGGCAGAGACAGAGAGAGATGCTCCGAAAGAGCCAGAGAGAAAGAGACGTAGACACAGAACATGGTCAGAGAGACATGGGTGAGACAAAGACATGGAGAGGCATACAGAGACAAAGAGAGAAACTGAGTCTGACGTTAAGAGACCCAAGGACAGACGTTTCCTACCCAGACATGACCAAAGTCAGCTTGAAGGATGGGAGGAGGAGGCAGAAAGCAAAAGGGGAAGTGGAGGAAGAGATGCTCAGAGATGAAGGCCCCAGACACCCTTTTCGGGGAGGGGTGGGGGAGGCTGGCCAAGGTGCAGAAGCTGCATGAGCTAAAGGCTGTCAGGGGGAGGCGGACAGCGGAAAAGGGTGAGGAGATGCAGAGACTGGCTGCGGCGAGACAGGCGTGTCCCCCACCCTCAGAGGCGCTCCCGCCCCGCAGTGCGCCCATCTGGGCCTCCTGCCTTGACTGGGAAAGCCTCGGCTCCCCCTCCAGCAGATGGAAGCCCGCCCCCAAGGGAGTCTGGTCATAGCAAGGGCAAGCAGGAGCCAAGGCTCGCCTGCCAGGGACTGGGGTGTCCCCACCCCCTCCTCCCTCAGATCCAGGAGTCCTGCCCCCAGCCCCTCCTCCCTCAGACCCAGGAGTCCTGCCCCCAACCCCTCATCCCTCAGACCCAGGATCCAGACCCCCAGCCCCTCCTCCCTCAGATCCAGACTCCAGCCCTGCACCCCCTCCTCCCTCAGACCCAGGAGTCCAGGCCCCCAGCCCCTCCTCCCTCAGACCCAGGAGTCCAGGCCCCCAGCCCCTCTTCCCTCAGACCCAGGATCCAGACCCCCAGCCCCTCCTTCCTCAGACTCAGGAGTCCTGCCCCCAACCCCTCATCCCTCAGACCCAGGAGTCCAGGCCCCCAGCCCCTCCTCCCTCAGTCCCAGGAATCCAGGCCCCCAGCCCCTCCTCCCTCAGACCCAGGATCCAGAGCCCCAGCCCCTCCTTCCTCAGACTCAGGGGCCCAGGGTCCCCAGCCCCTCCTTCCTCCAAATATTTTCTCCCAGCTTTTCCTGAGGTTTCAGGGGTGGGCTGCTGGTTTTCTCCCCAACTCCTGCCAGGCCCCCATCTCTCTCCTCTCCTGTGTTCCCCCTCATTTCTCTACCTTGACCCCATGACCTTTTGTCCCACCTCTCTCCATCCATGGGTCCACCCCTGTGGGGAGGTAAGACCCCTCCTGGCTCCGGGAATGGAGATGTGCCCTCCCTGTCCCCCAGGCCTCTGTGCTTTTGAGTCAGACGCAGTGCTGCTGCAGGGCTGGCCCGGGGCCAAGCCTCCCTCCCACCCCCCGAAACTCTCTCAGAGGCTCCTGGGCCTCTAGGCCGCGGTAACCCCCAGGCTCAGCCTCTGGGTCTGGGGGCAGACGGCAGGCAGCTCAGCCCTCTACAAGGTCACGAGGGGATTAGCGCTGAGCTGCCTGAGCCTGGGATCCCAGCTTGGCTCTGGGCCCACAGGATCCGTCAACAGCCCTCTTCCAGCACCTGGCCTGGCCCCGCCTCTCCTGCCAGCCTCCAGGGACACTGCCTTCTCCATTCGCCCAGGCTCCCGGACTAGAACCTCACTCACCCCCTCACACTGCATCCAGTTCAAGCCAGGCCTGGGGCTTTTGCGTCCTGCCCTTCTGCACCCCAAATCGTAGCCAACTCCTAGTCTGTCCTCCAGAGACCTGACCTTGCCCATCGCCTGTACAGAGCTGTCCGTGGCTCCCACCGACCCCCAAGAGGGAGGCCAGGGCCCACAGCTTGTCAGTTAAGGCCCTCAGGACTGGCTGTATATCCAGCCGGCCACCATCCCTGTGCAAAGCAGACTGCTTCCTGGGCTTTTGTCCCAGCTGTGACCCAACACCTGCACCTTTCCTCTCCATTCCTGCCAAGCCTGTGAGGCCTCTTGAGATTTGCTGGGTCCTTTGAGAGACAGAGGCCGAGACATCCATGGAGCTGGGGAAAAGAGCCCAGGAAAAGAGCCGGGTAGAGAAGACAGGGAGAATGACATAGTGGGGAGATCTGGAGCTGGAAGGACAGAGATGCCATGACAGACCCGAAAGAGGCAGACGGGAAGGTTGCAGAGTGAGATGGTGAGAGGTAGACAGACAAGGTGGTTGAAACAGGAGATAGGGAGCGACACGCCCAGCATTCCAGAGAAGAAGACAGCTCAAGAGATGAAGACAGAGACACAAGAAGGAGAGGGCCACGGAGACAGAAAATACTGATACACAGAGACCTTCTGAGATCCCACAACACTTCGACTTGGAGAGATACGAGAACCCAGAGAGAGACTCAGCCAGGCTCGGGGAGAGATGGTTCAAGAGACAGAAACGGACATTATATGAGACAGAGAGACATAAAGAGCCAGAGATCAGACAGACAGACAAAACTATACAGAGACACATGCCAAGAGACTCAGAGGAAGAGAGACGGATGACATAAAGTGACAAGGGAGACAGATCAGGGAAAGAAACAGCCACAGAGAGACGGATGGAAATATGAAGAGGCAGGAGACACACAAAGCAGAGCAATAAGACAAGAGAGGCACAGAGACCTGGAGAGACAGATCCAGAGACAGAGACAGACAGACGTAGCAAGAGATGGACGCTCGGGGAGTTTGGACAGGCCCAGAGAGAGGGGGAAAGACCCGCGGGAGTAGGCACAGAAACAGAGAGAAGCACAGACAGACCCAGACGGAGACCCTGGGGGACAGAGGCCCAGAGATAACATGGAGTCAGAGATGGTGAGGCCAGTTGCAAGAGACAAGACCCACGGTTCTGAGAGACACCCCCACAGAGACACAGGTCAGAGACAGGGAGGTGCAGGTGAGCCCTGGGAGACAGACTGAGACCCCCAGACCCGCACAGAAGCAGGCAGGGGTGGGAGTGGGGCACGGAGGGCCGGTGTCCCCCTTGTAACCCCTTCTCGCCCGCAGTCTGGTGGCTCTGACAGCTATCGTGTCGCCACCTCGCAGGACAAGAAAGATGACAAGGGCTCGCCCAAGAAGAGCAAGGGCACCAAAGACCGCAGGGACCTGGATGACCTCAAGAAGGAGGTGGCTATGGTAAGCCCCACCCTTTGTGCCCGCGCACCCTCCCAGACAGGAGATCCAGGCCGGGGATGGGCCTGAGGCTCTCAGGTCCTGCTCCTCCCCGGAGAGGCTCTCACCGCCTCCCCACAAACTCTCGTTCCCCAGACAGAGCACAAGATGTCCGTGGAAGAGGTCTGCCGGAAGTACAACACAGACTGCGTGCAGGTGCGGCTGGGCCTGAGGGGGGAGGGGGGCTGGGGGCCAGGACCCCTGGGTGCCTGGGGTACTCGTGCAGGTGGGGGTGCCAGGGTTGCTCAGGGAGGGTTCTGTGTGAATCCTGTGTCTCCCAGGGTCTGACCCACAGCAAAGCCCAGGAGATCCTGGCCCGGGATGGGCCTAACGCACTCACACCACCACCCACCACCCCAGAATGGGTCAAGTTCTGCCGCCAGCTCTTCGGGGGCTTCTCAATCCTGCTGTGGATCGGAGCCATCCTCTGCTTCCTGGCCTATGGCATCCAGGCCGGCACAGAGGACGATCCCTCTGGCGACAACGTGAGTGCCCTCCCCCCGGCCCTGCGCAAGGGCCTATGCATTTAGGGGCACGCATCCTACCCTGCCTCTCCCACCCCTCCAGACTTCTCAGAGCCCAGTCTCCAACTCTTTTCCCATCTGACTTTCATCATCACTCGGTGAGGGAACCAGAGAAGGTATGAGGAAAACCGAGGCTCAGAAAAGCCAGGTAACTTGTCTAAGGTCACACAGCCAGATGCGTGAGCTAAGGTGCTATCCTAAGGCTTTGTGATCTCAGTGGCCTTGGGGACAGGCTCCACCAGGTGGTCATGGCCTGAAAGATACCCCAAAAAGTGAGTACACCCATGTAGGGAGCCAGGCATGCCTACCTGCTGGTCTGTCGTGACCCATCACCCAACACAGGGGACACACAGCGGGGGCCACAGTCTCAATAGACACTGTGCCCATAAACACAGAGCCACACACTGGCTATGTAGAGATCCTCGCACACGCACATGCACACATACGCGTGCACAGTATGCCTGCAAACACATGTGAAGTCAACACAGTCACGCCTGGACAGAGATTCAAACACACCTGCCTAGTGCAGACACACAGGCACACAGACACACAGACGTAGACTGACAGACACAGGAATAAATGAATAAACAAACAAATAAATAAATAAAACTTAAAAAAAGAAGAAGAAAGTGAAACCTACAGGCAGATAGACACAGAGTCTCAGACCTAGGCAGACAGAGAGAGACAGAAAGACAGAGATCTACATACAAAGTCTCAAACACAGCGCCGTGCATTTAAAGCCAGGCATGCAGACAGTCGGACAGACGGACACACTGACCTAAACACCGACAGACACGTGGGTGGATAATAGCATACACTCAGACTCTCTAACATAGGCGGAAAGATAGATGGACACGCAAAACAGAGACACGGACTGACCCGTAGACTCAAACACACCCATGTGCAGAAAGAGGGTCTCAAACACGGACGGGCCGACAGACACACGGACCACGCAGCCTGCGGCCAGACGCACAAATACAGACCCTTCCCCCTCCCCCCACTGACTCATCGTTCCCTTCCCGGATTCTGCAAACGTCAAGGCGAGTGGCTCTGGGGTGTGACCCTGTGTCTCCCCACAGCTGTACCTGGGCATCGTGCTGGCAGCCGTGGTCATCATCACCGGCTGCTTCTCCTACTACCAGGAGGCCAAGAGCTCCAAGATCATGGAGTCCTTCAAGAACATGGTTCCCCAGGTGAGTGGAGCCCAGGAAGGGGCCAGCGGGGAGTCGGAATGCGGGGGTGAGGTGTGCCCTACAACCCCAGGCAGAGAGCCAGGATGCGGAGTCTTCTCCCTTCTGCCCCCAGCAAGCCCTGGTGATCCGGGAGGGTGAGAAGATGCAGGTGAACGCTGAGGAGGTGGTGGTCGGGGACCTGGTGGAGATCAAGGGTGGAGACCGAGTCCCGGCCGACCTGCGAATCATCTCAGCCCACGGTTGCAAGGTGGGCCTGTCCTCCCTGGAGCGGCTCAAGTGTCCGGAATCCCAGCCCCGCCCCCCGCAGACCCAGGAGTCCTGCCCCGAGCCCCCTCCTCCGTCAGACGCAGGGGTCAAGCCCCTAGCCCACTCCTCCCTCAGACCCAGGAGTCCAGACCCCCAGCTCCTCCTCCCTCAGACCTGGGGGTCCAGACCCCCAGCTCCTCCTCCCTTAGACCCAGGATTCCTGCCTCCAGTTCCTTCCTCCTTCAGACCTAAGAGTCCAGGTCCCTAGCCCCTCCCCCCTCAGACTCGGGGGTCAAGCCCCTAGCCCACTCCTCTCTTAGACCCAGGAGTCCAGGCCCTCAGCCCCTCTTCCCTCAGAATCAGAAGTCCAGACCCCCAGCCC